AGACAGTTTTTGACTGGAACCCATTGGAGTTTTCATGTGCTTGGCTGATTCCAACTCAAACCTTTTGACCAGATTGAGAGCATACTTCTTTTGATTCACAAACATTCCTTCACCTGTTTGTTTGATTTGAAGTCCTAAGAAATAATTCAACTCCCCTACCATACTCATTTCAAAAGTGTGAGACATAGAATCTACAAAAGACTGCAAAAGGTTAGCACAAGTAGAGCCAAAAACAATGTCATCAACATATATCTGAACAATAATGATATGATTATTAGTTCTTTTAACAAACAAGGTTCTGTCTGCCTCCCCTCTTTTGAACTGTATTTCAAGTAAGAAGTCAGTGAGTCTTTGATACCAAGCTCTAGGAGCTTGTTTAAGACCATACAGTGCCTTCTTAAGCTTGAAAACATGATTAGGTTTGGCAGAATCTTCAAAACCCTTTGGTTGTTCTACATATGCTTCTTCATTTAAAACTCCATTCAGAAATGCACTTTTGATATCCATCTGATACAGTTTGATTTTAAGAAAGCAGGCTATAGCAAGAAGTAATCTAATAGATTCAATTCTAGCTACTGGAGCAAAGGTCTCATCAAAGTCTATACCCTCAATTTGAGTGTATCCTTGTGCTACTAACCTAGCCTTGTTTCTAACAACTGTACCTTTTTCATCAGTTTTGTTCTTGTAGATCCACTTAGTTCCTATCACATTTACATGGCTTGGTCTGGGAACTAAGTACCACACATCATTCCTGATGAATTGATTCAATTCTTCATGCATTGCATTGACCCAGAATTCATCCTTCAGAGCTTCTGCAATATTCCTTGGTTCCACTGAAGACACAAAACAAGTGGTTCCAGTTAGTGCACATTCAGAAGATAAATTTGCAAATCTTACCATATCTCTGTAGTTTACTCTCTCTTTTCTCCTGGTCCTCATTCCATCAAAGATATCTCCCACTACTTGAGTAGACGGGTGATTTTTCTGAATTCTACTTGAGGGTTCCTTTCTGCAGACATCAAAGATTGGCTGCAATTCAGTCTCAGTAGGATGTGTGGAGTCAGATGTGGTGACACTTGGCTCAACACCTTCTTCTCTTAAGGCTGAACTGTTTGTGTCTGGGCTCTCTGTGGTAGAAGTGTCTTCCTCTGTTGTTTCTCTTTCAGCAATTAAGTCATCAACTTCATCTTCAGCTGTTTTACTGCGGAGATCAGCAAAGTCATCAAATACCACATTTACAGATTCAATAATGGTTCGAGTTCTTAGATTATATACTCTATAAGCATGACTGTTATTAGAGTATCCCATAAATAAACTCAAATCACTTTTTGAATCAAACTTAGCTAGATGATTTCTATCATTTAGAACATAGCAGACACACCCAAACACATGCATGTATTCTAGATTAGGTTTCTTACCATAAAGAATTTCATATGAAGTCATCATAGATCCTAATCTTAGGTACACACGGTTTGAGATGTGACAGGCTGTGTTGACAGCCTCAGCCCAAAACCTCTTAGACAGATTTTTTGCACTCATCATCACCCTAGCCATTTCCTGGATGGTTCTGTTTTTTCTTTCAGCCATGCCATTTTGCTGAGGAGTTTTTGGAGCAGAAAATTCATGCTTTATACCCTTTTTATTACAAAATGCAACAAATAAAGCATTCTCAAATTCTTTTCCATGATCAGATCTTATCCTACGAATAGAAACTTGAAATTGAGTTTTAACAAACCTATACAAATTTCTGAATACATCAAAAGTGTCTGATTTTTCTCTTAAAAAGTACACCCAAGTATATCTTGAAAAATCATCAACACACACAAAGACATATTTTTTACCACCTAGGCTTTCTACCTCTATAGGACCCATAAGATCCATATGTACTAGTTCAAAACAAATAGTGGTACCAACGTGTTGCAACACTTTGTGTGGTACTCTGGTTTGTTTTCCCTTCTGGCACATTCCACATATAGGAATATCCTTGATCTTGAGATCTGGTACTCCTCTTATAGCATTGTACTTGTTGAGCAGCTTCAGATTCTTGAAATTTGTGTGGCCTAGTTTCTGGTGCCACAGCTCTACTTCACTTACTCTTGAGCTCTTGCATGAAATGGTGTCACCTGTTTGATAGCAATTATCCATTGATCTGGAACCTGTAAGTACACAATGATTTTGACTATCAAACACAGAACAACAATATTTATCAAATTCTACACGTAGATCATCATCACACAATTGACTGATACTGATGAGATTTGACCCCAATCCTTCAACATGTAAAACATTTGAGAGTTTTGGAAGCCCCTCAATACTGAGTGTTCCACGTCCAACCACTTTGCCTTTAGCTCCTCCTCCATAGGTTACACGTCCTCCATTAAGTGTGTGGTAGTTTGATAGAAATTCCTTTGTTCCAGTCATGTGCCTAGAGCATCCACTATCAAAGTACCATGAACCTGAAATGTTAGCATTTAAAGAGGTGTATACTGCTTTGCACAAAAATTTACCTTTGGGAGTCCATATTTTACACTCCTTTTTGGTAGATTCTACCTTTTTCTTTGAAGTGTTCCTTGAAGTGTTGTGGCTTATTTTATACAACATTTTGTCACTGCTGAGTTTTTCACAAAATGGACGAATGTGTCCTGGTGAGAAACAGTAATGACAAACATAACCTCTTATTCTGGAATCTGGAGTGGTGACTGTGGACTTCCTGCAATCCTTTCTGTTTGCACCCTTCTCTTTTACAAAGACAATTTCTTTCTTCTTAACTGGCTTCATTTGTTTTTTGAACCCTAGCCCTTCATGTTTGTAGTGCTTTTCCATTGACACAATCTCTTCGAGCTTAGTTGTGCCAGTGTTCATCCTCTTGATTGCTAGAGTTGCCTTTTTGAGTTCTTCTTTCACTTTTGCCAGTTCAAGATCCTTCTTGGTGATTCCAACCTCCAAATGTGTGATTGTTTCTTTGAGGGAGGAATTTTCCTTGTTGGCTGCATCTAGAGCTTGAGTCTGCTTCTCCAAGTTTCTGATCAGCTTTTTACACATTTCTTCATCATCACTGACTGCTTCATTACTGGATTCTGCTGCATTCACAGAAATAGAGTTTAAACATGTATAATGATTAGTATTTAACTCACAAATTGAAAGTGTTTCAGAAAGTGTTGCAGCATCCAGGGAGACTCCTTGGGATTCTGTTTCAGTGGAACTTCCAGTAAGATATCTGACAGAAAGAGCTTGTTTAGAGGATTGCTGTTCCTCTGTCTGTTCAGGTTGTTCTTCCTCCTCATCACTGACAGCACAAATCAAACTCATTCCTCTCCTTCTCCAGGTATTTGCACATTCATTAGCATAATGTCCAAATCCAGAACAAGCCCTGCATTTAATATGATCCAAGTTAGGTGGTTCAGAATTTGAACGATTAAAAGAAGAATTTTTTAAATTGTTTTGAGAAGGTGTTTGAGGAAATGTTCTCTGTGGAATAGATCTGTTCCGGGGCTGAGTTTGTCGATTTTGTGGAGACCCTTCTGAGAATAACTGCCTGGGCTTGATTCCACTTCGTCTGTACGCCCTATTGAATTTCTGAATCTGAAATGCCACATTATTGAGGCATTCTTCTGCATCATCATCATATTCCGGAGCAACATCTTCTAATTCTGCCTGGAGTGCATTTGAGATAGCCTTTCCTTTCTCCTTTCTTTGATCTTCGAAGTTCATCTCTCTGGACTTGAGACTTCCTATTAATTCGTCCAGCCGTAGAGATGATGTATCTTTAGCCTCCTCAATAGCAGTAACCGTCATGCTGAACCTTTCTGGAAGAGTTCTCAATACCTTATTCACTAGTGTCTCGTTGCTCAAAGGACCACCTAAGGATTGAAATTCATTAGCCAAGTCAATCAGCTTCTCATTGTACTGAGAAATTGTTTCAGTTTCCTCCATTCTCAGTCTCTCAAATTTGGAAGAGAGTAATCTGAGCTTGGTTCTTTTGACACTATCTGATCCCTCACAATGTAGCTGAAGAATTTCCCAAGCATCTTTTGCAGAAGTGCATACAGAGATTAATTTAAACATTGTTAAATCTACTGAATTGAAAATTGCATTTAACGCCTTTGAGTTTTGGTTAGCATTTGATAGATCGTCTGGTGTCCACCGTAATTCTGGAGTTGGAAAAACATCTCCGTCCACATCTGTGATAGTTGGTGGCTTCCATCCAGTGAGAATAGATCTCCATGCTCTCTCATCAATGGCTTTGATGTACGCCCTCATCTTGACTTTCCAGTAGGTGTAGTTCGTGCCATCAAGTACAGGAGGTCGCATAGAAGCAGTCATCTGAGTATCCATCACGAATTCGTTTCTGTAAAGAAAATAGGAACAAACACTTAGTATACGTCAAGTGTTGGCTCTTGATGCCAATTGAAAGAATTTATGGTCCCGAATTCGTATTATACAGAGATGTTATCTAAAATGTTATGACACTTGAGACAACATGCAGCGGAAATATAACTATTAAAAGACAATGCTCAGAATTAAAAATGTTCACAAGTAAAGACTTGTGAACTTGCCCTTTACATGACGGAAAAAGAATATATTAAAATCAGTATTCCAAGAATACAAACAGAAGAGTGCGAAAACTTCTTCCTTATGAGTGAATCTTTTTCAAGATCACTCTTACAACCAAATCTAGATACTAAAAGAAAGATATCAAAAATTCTAGATTTCAAAGAATGTACTTATAAATAGTACGTACAACAGATCCTAGAAAACACACTAAAATTCTCGAGATTAAAATTTCAGCTCTATTTTTGTTTCCTCGAAATCTGTATTAATCTTGAGTCTTGAGTTTGGTATTTATAGACTTGCCAAGCTTCCACTCTTCAGCCCATGATCTGCAAGAAAACCAACCACAAGAGCACTCAAGATAATGGGTTAGTGGGTTAGTTAGGAAGATAAGATAAATTCCATAATTAAATCCACTAAGCACTACTTAACCCTACTTAGCCCACTAACTAAGATTTAGTTTAGAAGTTAAGAAAAGTTAAAAACACATAGTGAAATTAATTCACGTGTTTCAGTTATGTTGTTGTTTATCATGCTGCAGGTGTAATTCGTGAAAATCACGTGAAGCGACACGTAAGAATGAATTAAGGGGATAGGCGGGTGCTGCTGAAGACACATTTTGGACTACAACACCAATAGCTTACCGTGCAATTCCAATTCAATTAGTGTTTTGCATAGGAACATAGCAATATAATAGCTGCATTATTGTTTATCAAACAGTCGAAAATTCGAAAACATGTGCAAATGAATTGACATATTTATTATAAACAAAATTAAAAAAAATAATAAAAAATAAATAAAAAAAAATCTCGAAAAAGCTAAATACAAGACCAAATATGCTAAATGCAGACGGAGTAAATGTTGAATGCAGCCGGACAAAAATTACGTATAAGGACAATATAATTAGATATGGGCTCTAATAAAATGACTTTATTGAGGGACCAAAAGTGATCTAAAACCAATATGGGGACTAAAATTAATATAGTGAAATAGTACCGGGCAAAAAGTGTAATAACCTTAATAGGTCACGTGAAGAATCCACGAAACCGAAAGAAGAAACATGAAAGAGAAACCAATAGTGCTTCGGTTTTCAGTACGATCGACTTTGTGTGGGCGAAGCTTGATGATTCCGACCCCGTACCTCTCAAAGCATCTATGTTCGATGGAATGAATACAATTTGTTGGTACGGATGTTGAAGCTGCAATTTGACATGCCGATGTATTATTACATGTCTCGTGACCATAGGTAATTAATTACCTTCTTTAATTAATATGGCCTATATTTAGGGGTTTGCTCTCTATTTCATGATGCTATCCTCTTTAATTATTCGTATACATATTTATATAAAAGAATTGCTAAGTCAAAATCTAGATTCTTAGTTTTTATTACTCCCTCTGTACCATAATATCTGTCTCTTTTGAGAATTTTTTTTGTTCCCTATTATCTGTCACTTTACAATACCAATGCTGCATTAATTGCTTATTTTTCAATTTTACCCTTATTAACTCTATAGCACACTCTTCTTGCATTAATTAATCAACAATGGTATTTTGGTCCATCAATATCTATTTTCCTAAAATCAAGACATATTTATTGAGATTCTGAAGATTTGTGCCAAGGTGAAAAACGACACCTATTTAGGAACGGAAGGAGTACAACTTAAGAAATTAAACAAATACGAGCTTCTTTTCCAATTTGATTGATGATAAAAAAAAATAATTAATGGTACTCGTAAGTTTCTCGGCCCCATGGTCATAGATACATTAAATTTGTACTGTCTTAAAATTTAGGAAATTTTATCTTTTAACGAGCATCCATCCTATTTTGAGTTCATTGAGGTAGTCCTTGTTATTGCATTAATCGAGTTGCAAACAAATATGACTACACCATGTAATGGTCTCGTTTGGTTTGCTAGTGGACATGTTGACTGAGGACTGCATATCATCCTACTTAGCCTTGACCATGTGTTAAATAAATAGTTATTTGATCTAATGTGTAATAT